AAATGCTCGTGGAAGCTATGATCCCTCTAAAAAGTTATATTTTTTTTGAAAACAAGTATAACTTATGATTCGCTAAGGCATGTATTGACGCCTTCTATTTTTCAAGGAATTACTAGTGATTTACTTGAGACAGCTACATGACAATTTGTGATCAATATGCTCAGGTACCAACTAACAAGAGACAAAAACAAGCAAAATGTGTGGAGTCATCTGCATGCCCTGGTGAATCATAAGTTATAAAATATTTTGAAAAAAACTAAATTTGTTTTTCCATTGGGTGTCCCACGAATTTGGAGTTATAGTTTTTTAAAAAAAAATCATAACTATTTTCGACAAGGACGTCACACCCTTTCCGAGTTATAGTTTTCAAAAAAAGACTATAACTTTTTCCATTAGGCGTCCGGATTTGGAGTTATAGTTTTTTCAAAAAAAACATAACTATTTTCGACAAGGTCGTCACACACTTTCCGAGTTATATTTTTTTTGAGTTATAGTTTTTTTTTGAAAAAAACTATAACTTTCCATTAGGTGTCCCACGGATTTGGAGTTATAGTTTTTTTTTTTTAAATAAGCCATAACTATTTTCGACAAGGACGTCACACACTTTCCGAGTTGTAGTTTTTTTTGAAAAAACTATAACTTTTTTCCATTAGGTGCCTCACGGATTTGGAGTTATAGTTTTTTCAAAAAAATCATAACTATTTTCGACAAGGACGTCACACACTTTCCGAGTTATAGTTTTTTTTAATATAATCTTTTTCCATTAGGTGCCCCACGGATTTGGAGTTATAGTTAAAAAAAACATAACTATTTTCGACAAGGACGTCACACACTTTCCGAGTTATATTTTTTTTTAAAAAATAGCTTTTTCCATTAGGTGCCCCACGGATTTGGAGTTTTAGCAATTTCTGCTTGTGGAGTTTGGGACGAAATCGTTCCACCTGCTGGTGTCGTTTTCGCAAGGCTGGTGACGCACAGTCATCATATCCTCTTGGAAAAGGCTCTATCGCGTTTAGCAACCCACCCCAGAACTTATGTTATTTTGTATTATTATCCCAGATATGAAGCGTAATATACAACACCTGGTGTTGTTTTGCAGCAAAATTTTGAACCAAACATGCGTCATCCCCCAGCACTGCTTGCAGCTAATCAATTCTTTTACTTGGGTTTTGCTCTTCCCATAACACTTTACATCCGGCATTGGAAGCACAGTTCGTTAATCCACCCAAAAGCTACCCCCTACCTTCTACAGGTGATGTTGAATGCTGTCCGCATTGCTGAGTACTTATGAAATATTTCTGCCAAAAGCGCACCTTATTTATGAAATTTAGTAAGTTTGGGGTGTTTAGGGTGCCCTCGCCCCATTCCCCCCAAATCCAACAAACAGCAACCTGAGACTGGCAATACACCTGGACGACCCTACACCTCCAAGTGGCCAAAAGGATCTTCTTCGGATCTGCTAAGCACTTCATGATCTCGCCATCACCTGGGCGGTCGAGACACCATGAGACTATATAGTACTTGTGGTGATGGCAATGGGCCAAATGGATGGATTACTAGTAGTATACTTAGTGGTGTGGCTGTTTCCGGTGCTTCCCGCAAAAACAAGCAAACACAACTCACTTGCCACGAACGATCGGAGGGAGCACGGCGAAGGAAGCGCCTGAAGGAATGGTGCAACACAAGGCTAATCATCATGCTCCGTGCCTTGCACCCGCGTGAGAACCCAGTTGATGGTCTTCTTCCCTGAACACGTTCTTCACACTGTCGGAGAGCCAACGAATAGATAGGAATTGCATCTCCAGCTACAAGTTCTTGTCCCAACATGGAACAAAAACCAGCTCAGGGAGATGTGAGGACCTGTGTCAACCTCAACCGGGCAAAGAAATAAATGGACCAGCGATGTTTCCCCTGAGGACTCAGGACTCTTGGTTCAAATCCGGGCCATGCTTGCCTTGATATGCAAAAACCCTTTTGCAATCATGGTCTCCGTGTACTGGTCCGCTCTGGTTGCGAAGACCCTGAAGAGACTGCATCCTAGATTGCTCCCTTGCTAGCTACCAGGTACCAACCACACACCTGAGTACATCGCTTGCAAGTGGCAAATCTCCTGTGTCAACTTGGCAAATTGCGGATTCACCTTGCTCTTCACAGCTGCATGTGTTGGTGCCTTGCCATCCACTGCATAGTCCGAATCGCGGACTAGCCAATCTTTGCCTCAAAACGCCCGGCAGAGTGCACGTTTGTCACCCTCCAAAATGGTCCATTCTTGTTGGCAAGCAGCCCCACTAGCAGCCCCCTACCGGCTCGATGTTCATCGAGCTCGTTTGTGCGCCGAGGTGCCATGCTTGAGGCGCTCATAGGCAATCTGTTGCACTGCCTGATGGGCCGCCACCTCCAAGCCCTCGCTGGGCTTCGTGGGGTCTGGAAGCACCAACAAAGGCTTCACCTGGGCGCCAGGAAGGTCTGCTGATGGGTTATGGTTGGATTCACCAGAGCTCGGCATTGTTCTCGTAGGAAAAGACACACACTAAAATAGCGCTGGCACAAGCCAAGTACGCAAAGACCGACGACACAGTGAAGAAAATGAAGCAAGCAGTGACATGCACACTCAAATGATGCAACACGGGTGGGGAGCAAAGGAAAACACTCCACCGCACACATCAGGAGCTGAGAAAAACTTAGAACCTAACACCAAACGCATTCAGGGATTGCTGCTAAACAGCGCACCAACATTGAGTGATTTACACCAAACATTGAGTGATTTACACAAAGGCATAGAAAGATATTGAACGAACGAAATTCCGTGAGAAACCAAAGGGAAGCAAAGCCCTCAATGAAGGTGCTTGTCTACACCGTTTGAGCATATGGTGGTTGATCAATATTCTTTCATCCTGGAATGGCCATTCATCGCGGAAAAAAGATTCTCTTTTGCGGATCTTTCGCGGCCTCATCGCGAAGCATGGTCCTACAACCATGTCTATCTAACATGAGCCGGAACATGTCATAGTATCACAAAATAGGGAGAGACATCTTGCAGCATGACCCCAGTAGATGGTTGAACGTTTCCACAGCTACTCAGGGCCACTTGCAGCACTTGTGTCAAATACAGTCAAGCACAGCTCAACCCAATCCTCGTGCCAGCTACCAACACAGGGTGATGCAGCTTGGGGAATGTTGGGGGGAATTCACTGGTGCTTGGGGAATGCAGCTTGGGGGCACTTTAGCGGCACATTCGCGAAACTTTCGCGGAACTGGTGCTTTCCCCGGGAAGCCGTAACATTTGCAAACATCTGCACAGCCCGTCAGAGCAGCTGCAGGTCGTTGCCTTATTACTGTCAGGGCTGTGCCTACCTAGATTGCTAGTCTGTGACAGTGGGGACCGGAATCGGAGAATCCTTTACGCACTGCCAGGGCTGGGCACGGAAATGTTGAGGCTTCAGTTCGTTAGTCTGTGACATATGGGGGCACTTCCGCCCACTGGCTCTGCCGGAGGATTGCCTTGCGTTTCTATTCTTTGTCAGTCCGGTAGACAGGAAAACAATGAAAGCGATGACCTTCGATAAATCTTTCGCGGAAAAAACATATACTTTCGCGAACCTGGTTCTAACAACATCTGAAAGGCTGCTTTAGATAAAACTCCTTACACGGGGTTTTCGATCAACTCCCATATACTAGACCATCTCCTTCACCCCCATGTTTACAAACCACCCTCCCCCACCAATGTGTGTATACCACCAATGAATTTTACATCTTACACATCACCCCCAAAAAAATCGGTACCTACCAGTCGTAGGGACGTTTGCACATGTCACCCGCCGTGCCTCGTTCAACTCTTGCCACCATCTCAGCCTCGCCGTGGCTTTGTCCTTCTTCTCGCTGCCCTCGCCGCCCGCGCCGCACCCCTCATGCGCGGTGCCGCACGGTCCAGCGCGGGAGGTGCCTCTGCGGCGGGTCCAGCGCAGTGCCAGCGCGGCGAGCAGCAGGGCCGCCAGGAGGCGGCACGCTCGACGCAGAGTCCCGGGTGGAAATGGCAGGCGCAAGCTCAACATGGCTCGATTGGTGCAAAAAAAAGTTAACAACGAGGATTTGCAGGTTCAATGAAGGATATGATGAACCATCGACGGTTGATCATCAACATCAACATGGCCATGGGTGATTCCAAATGCCCGGTTTTGGCTTTTGACCATCCCAATGAGATGGACTTATTGGAGATGTCGACCTGGGGGGTTGGTCTTTAAATCTGTTAAACCCAAAGATACATCTACGGTGGCTGTGCAAGATCAGTCCACCGTCAAACTCCAGGTTGAAGGGAGTGTCTGGACAGTCAAGCTGTGGCTGGGCACATCATGTTTGTTGATAAAACACTGTCCGTTAAACCAAGGGGCTGTGATAAGCAATGGCAAACGAATGAAACACCTTTTGAGCAAAGATCCAAACTTTGCTAAGCCGCAGCCAAGTAATTCTGCAAAAAGTCTGATGAAAACATTATGTTGGTGGAAGTGTTTTATTGTATGTGTAGCTGTGGCCGAGCTCGGTTTCAAGTCGTGTGTGCAAATGTGTGCAAAAGCTGCAAGAGGAAGCTGCTTCTGGACCATTCATATCGCTCAGTGCAGTCAAGATTTCACAGGCAAAGAACATGTCACATGCTTGTTTCACTTGGTTAATTTGTCTGTTGTGCGTACAAGCTGAAGCCAAGAAGGGCCCGAACATCAACTCGCTCCTTTTGTATTGACAATATCGGACACCTCGGGGAGCCAATTCGTCAATTCGCCGAGCGAAGTCATGTGCCAAGACGTGCTGCTCCAAAGGCATGGAACACGATGATGTCAACATTCATCACACGTCACACCTGGCTAATCTCCAGTCTGCTACACCATGATGCAAAAATATCTCCTCCTCTCATGATAATTAGGCTAGTCCTCCAAGGGCGTCGCCATGCTTCGCCTGGTTGCCCGGACCAGGTGCGCGTACGCGGACGCGGAACCATGTCCGTCGTCCTGCTTGAACCAGGTGCAGCTGCGCTCGTTGGTGCCCTTCTTCAAGCTGAAGCCGAAGCCATGCATCTGCAAGCCACGCTGCTCACCTGTGCGGCACCGGCCTTGGGAGATGGAGACCGATGTCTCTGATGTCAAGTTTCAGTGTGAAAAGGATGGACAAGGTATTATCCCTCATCCAATTCTCATGATACCCCTTCACCAAACCAAAGTTCTGCTTGACCACGATTCACCTCACATACCTCACCCATCGTCTCAAGCCAGGGATTCTTGGATTCTTCCCCAGTGCTCCGCCAGTCTAAACTCCACCACACCAACATGGAACTAGAAACTAGAAAATGTGTCGTTCTGAACCATGAGATCCTTCTTTTGAAACCAACACAAAGCCGACCGGTCGGTCGACCGTTCCACTGACCCACCGAGCCATCTGAGTCAAGACATCTCGCCGAGCCCAGGGTCGGATCACTCCACCGGACCTGAAAACAGATCACTCAATAAGACCCCCGCGCCCGAATGAGTCGCACTCGTCCCACGCCTAGCTTAAAGAGGTACTTGGACCAAGCGCCAGGTGCACCACACACATCCACGAAGACCACTGGCTCCTAGAGACGCTCCGATCCGATCCTCGCATCCATCCGGTCTGAGGTGGGTGTGTATGACAAGAAGCGGGGGTAAAGGACGGACCCATGGCACAGAACCCACAATCGGTGGTTTAGACCCCCCATCTCTCGACATCATGGGGGAAAAGGTGCCATCGAAGCTCTGAAACGTAACTGGACCACCCCAAGATGGACCTTGGACCTTGCGTGCCAGGGGATCATTTGGTTGTGCCAGTGCCAAGTCACCAAAAAATAAAAAACGAGGACACAAACGACGGTGCGCATCGAATGGCACACCGGGCGGGCCCGGCCTCAAACAAGTACAGTCAAATGCATTGGATCACGGCTATGCAAATCAGAGTGCAATCTGTATGGAAGTAGCTGTTCTGATTCTGGTCAATCTCTAAAACAACCAGCCTGTAAGAAGAAACCCTGTTGAAGCCTTACACCCCCTGGTATGCCCGAAACAGTGACCGTCCGCCCGAAACGTGAAGGATTCTGAGCAACACAGGTATGCCTTCATGTCCGGTCCCACCTGGCTGGCGGTCTGCACACGCTGGGCATTGGCCAAATACCCCGGCAAACGCAAGGGATGGTTGCATGTTGGACATCTGCCCACCTGACCCACACAGCCTCAGTGTGCAAAGAACTGCAGCAGTTCATGTCCGGGCAGTGAGCCGAACACTCTGCAAAGCAGGGCTTCCCTGCTGAGCCGGAAAAACCCAGGAGCGAGGCTAGCGAGCTGGAGTCCATTCTTGGTCTGGCAATCTGGACATGTTCCTTTCTTAACTTACATCCGCTGGGAAGCCCCTAATACTAATCTCTTCAAATTCACTCAGTGGGTCAAACGGAAGCAACAAACACACACCAAAGAACCACTAAAGGAACAAGTTACTCCCCAAGTGTATTTTGGAAATGTGGGTGGGGTCGTAACTCAGTTCTCGCAGCCACAATTCACACGTTTGGTCATAGGCTACTGATACAGCATACAGGATGTTGAGTAAAGGCTGACGCTCAAAACATGCGGACTGCTAAAAGTCGGTGCAAATCAATCTATGGAGAAACAGTCTGGCCGCCCTCAACTCAGCACGCCCAAACGCAACCCAACAAGCACGCAAACGAAGCACAAGAGCCACCCTGCCAACGATTAGCATCTTCATCTCCCCAGTCACTTCTGATGGCTTCATTGCGTCGGTTTACACCAGGTCCGAACCCTCTACCCATGTCACAGAAAAAGGATCCAACAAACGCACATGGTAGGATCGGTGCTGACCCGACTGTTCTCAACCAAGCAGCAAGTAATGCAATCTGTGCCTCGGGCGTTGGGGCTTGGGCGGCAGGGCGTGGATCCCCCAGCCACACAGTTTCCGTCCCCTTTGACATGTCGATTCTGTGCAATTCACCGATTGCTCTGACTCATGGTGCGTCGATATGTTGGACCTTTCTCCACAGAATGGAGCCCAAACATGACCCCCGTTTTGATAGGAAAAAGCCATATGTTGGGCGCTTGGTGGTCCAACGAAAAAGGACACTCGGGTTCTACAGGTGAACCTGGACATTAAACTGAAAGGTCCCTTCAACAAGGTCTCTAGCCAGTCCGATTGGCTTTGAGCGCCTTTGAAACATCATTCATGGCCATGTGAGTCGCAGTCTAGTTGTTCTGTAGTGATTTTTGCACTTGGCACACAGGGTTATTGGAAGACCAACAATTCGACCAGAATGCAATCATCAACACTTCTGCAGGAAGACTCTATTGTCTCCGATCGTCTCCTGTTTGTGATTTGAACTGACTCAGCAAATCTGAATTTCAAGGATAGTTCTGCAATGCGATGGGTGGTTTCTGTTTCGCCCTGCGGCTGGTCCACAAGGTCAACTCCACTCAGACCATGGATTTGAACCCAGGCATGGCTCCTTTTTTTGACAAAAGCCAACTTTCCCACCACAAAACTTACCAAGTACCGATCGGAAAACAAATCCTGTCCATGAACAAGCAAAACACAGGATCTGGCGATGTGTATTTAGACACTATAGACACAGGGAGAGCATGCGGCATGTGCGACGAAACATGGACGTCGTTTGAAGCAAAAGGATTGCAAAAGGTATTTATTCCAAGGACCTGTATACCTACAGGAGCCCAAACAGTTGAATTGATGTTTACTTATTGCACTGATCTACTCTCAACGTGTCTGTTGCAATCGAACATCAAATTCTCAGCTTCTTCAAAGCGACCTTGTTGGAGTGCCCAAGTTAAGTGACCTCCTATGACCTGGGAGATCAAGTTCGGTCGCTTTGAAGAACCCAGGGCTAGCGGCTAGCTGATTTGTAGCATAGCTACACCGGCACTAACATATATTCGTATATGTCAATTCAACATTGCTATGTCACTATGTCTATATACTTTGTTGTAACTATTGTATTTGAAAATTTGTTGCTAAAAAATATTGTACAACATGCTTTAATCAATCTCGGGTTTAACCAACCTCCAACCTGCCCCCCCCCCCCGGAAAGCAGCGGCGGCTGCAGCGTGCACCGCTGCTGGAGCAACCGCCTGGAGGCCAAGCGGAGAAGAGCGGTGAGAGACAGTGAGAGATGAGAGAGGAAGGGAGACGAGACTGACGCCGAGCATAGTATAATAATGAGCACCTTTTTTCCTTATCTCTCATTCTGCCATGGATGACTTCTTACCACCCCATGGACAATATAATTTGGCCAATGATGGCACTCACCACATTCACAGGCCAAGCATTGCCACAGGCACCCATAAGTTTCCTGAAGCTATGGCAAAAAAACATGGATCAAGAGAGGTTGAATGCTGCTGATGCACACTTGAAAGCTTTTGAACCTGGATCGGATAAACAAGAGAGGATTTTCATGGAGCCAAGATTCGATTGGCTCATGTCAATCTCCCACGCAGCATCCGCCAAAGCATCAGGCAAGCCCTGCAAACGCAAGCACTCCTTAGATTCAATGTGTATTGAATCACCTGGAGCCCTGGAACAATCAAGTGTATTGCGGGCCACACGTGTAACAATTAAATCTCAAAGTGTCTGCAGGATTCAAGGGGCGATCCTTCATCGTGAGCCAGAATCCCTTTGCAGCAGCACGGGTATGTGTCAAGCATGGCGCCGTCACATTCTTTGGCTTGCACTGGAATCGCTTGGAGGCACCGATATCAACTATCCTGGCCAGTCATCATGATAATAAGCCACTAGTTACAAAGTCATCCATGGCAGTAATGACTAGGTTTAATAACAGAATCAACTGAGACTAAGACCATACTTCCTTTGTTGGGTTTCCACCCATCTTCCGGATCATGCTCTCGCCACGTTTCAGCATCTTGCGTGCATGATCCGACAATGAACCTCAGGAAACAATGTAACATAGATGTTGAAACGTTCAGTGGACACAAATCTAACAACAGCTTTTAGCCTGGAAGCTGCGGACGTTCTTACCAGATTTCCGAGACAGGATGCTGCTAAATGGAACCCTCTTGCCAGATGGTGTTGGCCAGTTGAATGGCTTCCTCAGTCACTTAGGCTTAAGACAACTAATAAACAAAACATTCATTGAGGTTTATACTTACCGACAAGTCTCGATTGATGCTTCCGGCGAAGAGCTACAACAAACAGCCGCTTCCTAGATTGAGGTAGCCCGAAGTCCTTGGATTGGAGAGATGGCTAGGCTACAACTAAGAACAAAAATTCAGCAGGTGTCAAATAAAAGGGTTTGTGAACCTGAGATTCGGCTGCATTCAGGATGGCTGGGAAAATCCGGTAGAAAGGTTTGCCATCGTTCTCTTGAACATTCTTGAGCCTAAGCTTCCAAGGATAAAGTCTTTTTATGCTTGATCATTTGCAACTCATCATGAGTCTCTTAGACACTTGAACTTTCTCAACCAAGAGACACGTTAATCCACTTGTCATAGATGCTTTTCTTCAGCTTTTTGTTGCGTATGACATTGGGAACCTGCTCAATAAGTGCAACTTCAGGTCGCTTTGCCTTGATATAATCGAAACTGGCCACCATGCATTTCGACCGTGGGTCATCCTTAGTATGACAAACATGTAAAAGAATAAAAGTAGTGTAGATATTCTTTTAGACCTTCGTGACAAGCATCCAGCCCCCGCTTTTTCCCAGCAATGGAAACCCCCTGGCATGGAGGACCAGCGCCATAGAGATGCACTCTAGGCATCTTTGATAGCTCTCTTTTGGTGGCATCCTTGGCAAGTTTTTTTGGGGTGAGTTGAGACAACTTCAACACAGCTTGTCATGACTGAATCAGCCCAAGTAACCTTGTATGACACCTTGGGATGGTGAATGCGCCCAGCCAGTAATCGCAAGGAATCATCCTTCTCGCTGATGAACTCGAGGCTGTAGGGGAGCTTGGCTTTCCTGATGTGGTGGGTGTAAGCAGAATGAACATGAAACCATAACTCCGGGAACATTTCAATTCATGAGAAATTTCTTGAGCTAAACCAATAAGCATTCAAGCATCGTCAAAGCCCAGCTCAGGCACTCAAGGCCCGAAAAATCAGATCCAATCTTGATTCTGGGCATGCTTCCCACTCTGGATTTGAGCCCTCAAGGGCCTCAAAAGTTTGCAGAAGATTTGCGTTTGGAGATGAATCATGCTCCATGGGTTGCAGGCTCATGCAGGCTCAATGGTGATGATTGACGTTGACTGACTCTACCAGACACTGATTTTCCACAAACAGGTCAAATCAGACCAGCATCAATGGTCGAAGTCGCATCGTCGTTCCCAAACCTAAACTCACTAAGTCGCGCACCGCCCACTCGAAAACACATGACAGTTCTGGTTAAATAGAACTGCTTGGAAGTCTTTTGCACTATTCATAACTAAAGGGGCGTGTGATCCAAAATTCAAGATTCCATCTTAACTGGTGCTACTGTGCTAAGAGTGATCCATGTCATTGCTGGCAAGCAATCACTAAGAAAGATTCGGGTAGCTTCTCCCCAGTTTTGGAGGGGTTTATTTGGTTTAAGGAGACCCCACAGCAATGCCACCTCACTCAACCCCTGACCAGCTGATGGCCGCCCATTCAAAGTGAACCTGCTCAGGTTTATGCCCCCGCCGCCATCTTCCGCAATTTGGAAGCTGCAGATCCACCAGGCTGATCCTTGGGAATGGAAACTGGGGAAATGGGAAGGGCCTCTAAAAGATAGTTGGTCCTGGTTGAAACTTCCATGACACCACCTGACTAAGTTGGACGTGGCTGCCAAAAAAAGATTACAGTAACTCTGATTAAAATGAAACTTGTCCCAATGCCTTGAAGTCTCCTGATCAATCTTCTTGGACCTGCTCTTGCCCTTAGCCTTAGGCTTTGCTTTCGCTTTTGGCTGCACCTTTGTTGGCTCTGGCACTTCTTCTTCTTCTTCTTCTCCCTCAGCATTGTCGGGGTCCTCCTCATCCACAACTTCTGCTTTCCTTTTTTTGGGCTTCTCAGACTTCTCATCATCTACTTCCATCTCATCACCCTCCTCCTCAGGCTCCTCCTCCTGCTGCTTAGGCTTCCTGCCTCTCTGCGCCTTCGGCTTTGCATCTGCTTTTGGCTTGCCCTTCCCTTTTGCCTTGGGTTTTGCTTTTGCTTTCCCCTTTGCCTTAGGCTGTTCTTCTTCTTCCACGATGCCAAGCTCTTTCAAGACAGGGTCCTCGTCAGGTGAAGTTGTTTCTTCTCCTGAGGTGTTGATCCAATGAGGAGTGCGTTCCCCATCATCATCAGCATCGTCATCCTGGTCCTCTTCCTGGCCCTCTGGCTCCTCAGGATTCTCATCATCGCCCTTGGTTGAAGTCTTCTTTGGCTTCCCACCTTTATTTTTTCCTCCTTTGGGATTCTTTGGCTCTGCAGGCGCTGCTTCCTCATCATTGTCATCCTTCCCACTGCCTTTGAGCTGCTTGATGTCTTTGATGACTTTGGACAGTTCTGCATTGTAGAGCATGTCCTTCGGATTCTGCATGCCTTCAAACGTGAGAGCCTCCAATCGTTTGGTGAGTTCATCAACCTCAGTCGTTGTTGGCATTGCTTTGAAAATCAATTTGATGATTCAATGATGATTAATAGTCCTCAGGTTTATTCACACTCACTGGGGGGGTTGGCAAAATTGCAGTAACCCTGCAATCATATTAATTAAATTCCAAGACGCATGCTTTTGGGTGAAGCATAGTCCAATGTATGGGAGGTTGCGGCGGATGGCGATCATAGCGAAGTTCCCATCACCTGAAAAGGAAAAGATCACAAGTTCAAGTTCAAGTTCAAGTTAAAACACTTAAGACTCAAGTTGCAGCTTAGTTGCCA